TGATTGTGCCGATAAACAAGCTTGAAAATCTTTGCTGTACTTCATGGACGTTTTCTAGGAGTTTATGTTTTTCAAAATACAAGGTCTTTAACAAAAAATAACGTATACTTATTGTCGTCGGATTAACACCAAATTTTCACAGCTTTAAGGTGACAGTGAGAGGAACTTGAATGTGTCCAGACAAACTAGTTCATCGATTATTTACCAACGAGTTGTGGTTTGAGTTGGGGGCAATGCGACTAAAACAGTAATTGAAATTCAGCACACTATTTTTTAAAACGCGTTGCTTGAATAAAACTGACCAGACACATTCAATTTACCAGACTATTGAACAACTAGGAAAAGTGAAAAAAATACTTTTTATCGCCAGCATAAATGCGTAATTATTTTTTTTACAGAAAAAGTAATTTTTCACCTTTGGTTGAGTAACGCGTCGTAGAATGCAGATACGGGCATGCAAAATACACTTGTGAAAAGCTTGAAGTCTGGCGATTCTAAAAATATATACTTTCCTGGGTCTATTTGTAGTCGTTTGGTCACAATTAGAAGATGAAAACAAGTATGCAAATAATAGTCCCGCTACCTTGATTATCCTGTCGCCATGATTAACCACCCACAATCAATGACTGCAAACATCTCCATAAATTAGGTGAATTAGTGATTTTCTTACCCTTGCCAGAAGCTCCAGATGCATCTTTCTCATTTGGCTTAGAAGAGCCTTTCTTTTCATCCACCTTTTTCTCGGTTTTGTCATCTTTTTTGGCAGTGGTAGTAGACGATTTATCACCTTCTTTTTTGGTAGCAGTGCTACCGTCAGAGGCCACATCCTTCTTGGGTGAGGTCTTAGCAGCAGTAGTGGTTTTAGCAGTTTCAGGTTTCTTTGCATCAGAAGTCTTTGAAGGAGTGTCTTTTTTATCAGTTGGTTTACGAGAACTTGCAGCTGGATCAGTCTTTGCCTACAAAATACAAGTCAAGCACTGTAAACTAGAAGTCAAAATTGTAAAAGGCGTGATGTAGGGTTCTCTCACGCCTAGCCCTCGTCAAGCTCTGAACAAATAGTTTAGTTTTTCATTGGTTTATAGCACTAAATTGGTTATACTGACTAATAGACATTTTCAATGAATGAATTTGCCATGTGTTTATCTGAAAACGGCAAAATTGAAACCCAGTCAATAATTAATACATTGTTATGATATGCCACAATTATAATAAACTGCCTATCTGTGGAGATTACATCCACTAAAAGTACTAACAGTAAAGATACCATCAACCTTTTCACCACCAAACTTTCTCACCTAAATCTTTCTGCATTTTTTCCACAATATTTAAAGAAATGAACCCTTACTGTGGAGCCAATATACAAAATTTGAGTAAATTTTCAGTTTTTACTCAAAATATTTGGCTAATTTGTTCCAAGACTATTTTGTGAATGTGCGATGAAAACATACAAATGGTGGTGATGAACAATGATTACCCAATAGACCATTTTCCGTTCACTGCGAGAATCGCGCATTATGCGTGAAATCAAACTTAAAAACAGGACAAACAAAGGTCATAGCGTCGTAGTCGCGTCAAACATCGCGTGGGATTCGGCAAACTCGAAAGTATTTCGGGGACATTTCCATGCTTAATAATGTGCTCTCCACATTTAATGATAGGCAATTTCCATTAAGTAAGGGTATTCGGAAGCAATCTTCCTCTGTCGAAGATGGCCGGTCGGTGTGAGCTACGAAATAAAGAAATTCTAGTTCAAAACCAAATCGTTCGATTTTTGCGGCAGACGTTCGACGCGCGTCTTTCATGCATCTCGCAAGATCTCGCAATTGTACAGAAAATCACCTATTCACCTGACATGAGCGCTTTAAACAGACACGCGTCAGAACCAGAAATTGAGTTAATGTGAAACTACTAACAAGATTGTGCCCATCAGTTATCCAACCCCAACAACCCAATCAGAAAACAGCTTGTTTGACAGTTTTTATTCTTCAACGCAACTACAAAAATTAGCCTAATAAGTATATTCTGTTTAATAGATATTAGGGACTGATTGGGACATTCTTTTGGCAAAGTTGGGAATCACCTACTTCTATAGCATGAAAAGTGAAAGCACGATCATGTGCAGTTTGTAGCTAGAGTCATCTGTAAATCTAAGAAACAGGTTTATTTAAATTTATTAGTTATCACAACTCACCCATTCAACATATATAATGCGTCCATGAAGTTCAGTTCTATGAAGATGATGGAATGCTTTGTTGGCTTCAGCGTGACTTGACATGGTTACAAAACCATAACATCGGGCTCCTGGACTGTGGGCATTGGTCACAATTTTAGCTCCAATAACCTACGACAAAATGGTCAAAAAAATTATGTTAGACCAGGAAAACAAAATTCTGTTATATAATATTATATAGCATTTCGGAATGCTATATTCGAGACGCATAGTTCAAAATGATGCGCGGAAACGAGAAACAGACATTTTTTTCTCTGCCTTTATTTAAACTATTTTAAAATGCGTTAAACTTGGCCTTGGTGACAATCACTATATTTGTAAGGTAAATGCTACTATCAAACACCTCGGCTAAAATCCTTAACATGCAAGTTAGTATATTCAATTGTTTCATTTAACATAGTAAAGGGCACAACAGGCACAACTCCTTTTGTCCAGCTTCTGTAAGTCTAAATACAACAAAGATACAACCATCTTTTATTTATTGTGAACACTGAGCAAATATTGGTATTTTAAGGTAACAATAAACCAGCTTAAACTTACTTTGCCATATTTACTGAAAGCAGACTTCAGATCAGTTGCTTTTGTAGTTGACGACAGGTTACTGACCCATAGATTTTTACCACTACTTGCAGAAGCACTACGAGATGAAGAACCACGACGATCTGAAACATCCGAAGGATTAGTACAACCAGTCAAGCATATCATACCAACACATACAAGAAGTTCTGACGCGTGTTATTACCAACACAAGTCCTTTCGGAATGTAGCCTAGATCACCCAACTTACAGGCTCTACTATGCATTTCTGAAGACACCATTTAAAGGACAAAACTTACAAAAATGCCTGACTGATTGAAACTGAAGGAACTATTTGAGGACATTTAGGTGAGAATCTAGGAAATGACATGACGAATGTTTGCCTTGCTCTGCGAGTACAGCCACACATTTCTGAATTCTAGAAGTCAAAATGAGGAAATTTACATAACTTGACTTTGCATATAGCTATCTTTGAAATGAGGATAACACATTGACAGCTGGTGAAGATTTTTTTCTCAAAATGAGTATTTTGTTTTATTTAGCAGCCAATGTGTCAACCCTTCAACTGCGAGATATTTTTTTTTTGCTGTGCACATTTCCTAAAATTTTCATTTCATCACAATTTTAAACCATAAAGTTTAGATATTGTTTTTTCGTTGTCATTTGCCAACTTTCCATGTGGAGCAGACTGGATAAAATAATTTTGTAGGTTGAAAATGGTGCTCAAAGGGTTACATGCTGAATGAAAATGGATTTGTTGACTAAGAATGGATATATAGTTGACTTTTCAAGCACAATGGTTTAACCATTCTTGCCACTGAAATGCCTTTGACCAACTTACATACAATATAACAAGACCTATTATTTTTTTTACAAATCTAGCTTTAAAAGGCCAACATAAATTCATATTCTGCATAAAATTTTTTAATACTCAGCCAGTTTCAACATTTGATGGCATATAATCAGGGGATGGTACCTCAGATTTGCGAAGTGGGGATGCAACTTCAACCAGAAGAACAACAAAAATTACGGTCTTACGACCTTTCTATCTCACCTTTTTCATCTTTAGCAGTTGACTTTCCAGTATCTTTGGAGGTAGAAGTACTGAAAGAAGAGAAACAAGAGGTATTCTAATTAGCTACAGAATTTAAAGATTATTGACAACAGACAACTTAACACATACATATGAACTCAGATTTGTAGGTATTTTCAGAGTAGATAGGAGGCAGCTTGATACATCGTAGTAGTAGTGATGATGGCCAACTTCTATGACACATGGTCCACCTGCAGGATACTACTGCTATGGTCGAAAGCAGGGTACGCCTTGCAGAATGTGGAGACATTCAAGCAACATGCAATGGTTGCTGTGGCAACGTCCTCAACTTCACCTTACTCCATCTTTGCTTTTGTTGATCGTGGTAACAGGAGCCACTCTAAAGGTGCTTTGAAAAAGAAGAGATGTAATTTCTTGAATTTTAAAGTTAAACATCACAAGTTGCCTTTGGAAGAGTCAGTCACATCAAACAGTCTCAAAAAGTTTGTCCAGATTAATTCCAGATGGGGTTTTTTTTTCACATAAAAAATCTACAAAACCAGTTACTTAGAAAACTTGTTTTCAACCATGTATGCAGGTAAAATTTGATGCTAATACAAGATTCTGGTACAAGAAATGAACAGAAAAAAAATGAAAGTGACAAAAAGAGCAGAAAAACAACAGTCACTTGGTGTTCAGTGTTGTGCAAAAGTCGCAAATTTGAATTGAAGGGGAAAATGCATTACATGCCTCTTGCAGTGTGAGTAATGTGAAACACGAAGCAGTTGACAAGTTGAAACATAACCCGATTATTAAACTACTGTACTTAAAATAAACTTAAATTCACCAAACTCCTATTTTATTATTTAATGTTCAAAGGACTACGCAACATGATTGAAATAGATCAAGTGATGCAAAACAAACCTCTTGGTCCTGGCACTAGAGGATGTTGACGAAGGGCTTTTCTTTGTAGGAGTGCTGCTATCTTTTGTCGACTCAGCCGCGTCATCTGCATTTTTATCAACCATATCTTCTTTTTTTGTCTCGTCTTTTTTATCCTCTGTACTCTCTGCGGTTTGTTCTACATCATCTGGTTTCTTTTCATCCTCAGCTAGCTCAGTTTTAGTCTCTGTGTCCTCTTTCTTAGGACTTTTTTCAGCCTCCAGTTTCTCAGCAGGTTTTTTCTGGTTTTCCTGGAGGTCAGAATCCAACTCCATAATTGACTGGTCATCAGCATGCACAACCAGCGAGACGTTATCATCAGATTTAGCTATGGCAGATGTATCCATTTTAATAGTATCTTCCTTTGTTAAGGGTGCAATTACTGGAGCAGAGCCTGGCGTTGGTGGTTCAGGAACAGTAGCAGCAGCATCCCCATCATCTTTAGTTGGTGTATCTTGGCTACTACTAACTGAAATTGAATGTATAAAAGTGAAGCAACGCTACACAGAAACGCACCAACTATTTTAATCTCCTCCATGGCATCTTTATGTTGTCTTGGCCCATTGATCACGGCGACATGCGGCAACATTTTTTGTATACTTACTTTATTTGGTATGTCCTTGAAACCAGCACTGCATACATCCACATCATAGTTTCAAATGATTAAAAAACAAAAGCAAAAGCTAAAAATAACCCCAGGCGTATTTTTTAAAGGGAAAGGTGTTCCTCAGTGGCTGTATTTCTTTTAGTACACCCTATTGATAACTTTCACAAGATCAGCTCTTCTGGGCTGCAGTTGACACAAACGGCACAGTAAGATCAAAACATTCTCTATATTCTTCTCTGGCAGTCCGCAGATTCCAATTACAATGGCGAAGAATGCTACATCAAGTACAGTGCAATATTTTTCAACAAATGTCTTGCAGCGGTCTTTACGTTCTTCATGTCCACCTCAAAATAAGGATTCTATTGCAGTCTGTTTCCCACGGAGTGGCTTGTTCAAAAAAATGATTGCTATTAAAGTTTGCTCCCACGATGAATCACGACTGGCGGAAACATGTTCAAAGATTGTTGCGTTGTCAGTCCGATCCTTGTATTCTTAAATGTTTTCGAACTTCCTTTGACCCATCAGTGACAAAGCTCCAGCAATAAACATTCAGTCTGTTGACTTGTCCTTAGTATGATACCTTATCCTGTTCATGCTCGAAGTATACTATGATGACCAGGTTGGCAAATTCAAAGAAGATCCAGCTATGTAGCAGCAGCGGTAATTGGACTTGCATTTTTCTTCAGACTTCAAAAGTTTCAACCATGTTGGTGTCAGTTCACGCATGACAATGAATATATCAGAGATGAATGCTCTAAGCTTGAAGACATCATTGAAACCATACTAATAGAAATACGTAACGCCATTCACGACTCAAAACGTACTATGTACAGCCATGAGAAACACCTGTCAGACCCACCCAACATTTAAATCATGCCTTTTTTTTAATTCCAGGTCAGCTAAAATGGGGAGAAGAATGAAACGCAGGGCAGGATAATTTTTCGATTGATAAATACACTACCTTTCTCATCACTACTGCCTTCAACTTCCTGCAAAGAAAAAATACAAGATGTTATACATACATATATCCAATGTGAAACAAACCACTGAAGTGTGTGTAGTTGTGACATTTTGATGCTGACCTTTAATTGGCAGATAGTAGTTAATACAAACATAATCAAAGAAAGCTTAGAAAGAACTCCCGTGTGCTGAGAGTATTGAAGACACAGTAAAAATTAATTCAAAATTACTTGTACTTGAGATATTGATGGAATAGCTGAAAACTAATTATGTAAATCAGGTAACTGATATGAACAGATTTAAGTGTAAAACTAATAAGGTCTGCACAATGTACCTAGTTTCATTGAAATGTGATTAGAACCCAAAAAATATTAATTATTATGCTAATTAGAGAGTTAATATGAACAGATTTTAACCCAAAATTAATCAGGCTGTCTATTGTCCTAGAGCATTTATGTACCAAGTTTTATTCAAATGTGATGATCAATACTTGAGATATCAGTATTAATTAATTATGTTAATTAAGTGATTAAGAAGCATACATATTTACCAAAAATTAATATGGTGTATAGTCCTAGGTTCATTGAAATGTGATGGGTACTCTTGAAAAGTTTCATTGAAATTCAATGAGTGGTTTGTAGACATCAGTGCAACAGCTATAGAACAGCAAAAAATTAACTAATTATGCAAATTAGGTAATTAATAGGCACAATTATTTATTCAAAAATTAATCAGGTCTCTCTATAGTCCTAGAAAATGTCGCAAGTCTCATTGAAATGTGATTAGTACTTGAGATATCTATTGAAAGTAAGCCTCCAAGACCCGTTGGATTCGCTAAAAATCAGCTAATTATCATGCAAATTAGGTAATTAATATTCATAGATTTTTACCAAAACCTAATCAACTCTGCGCATTATCCCAGAGCATCTATGTACCAAGTTTCACAAAAATTTGATTAGTGGTTCTTGAGATAACGGTGGAACAAAAAAAGTGACATACATACATACATACAGACAGGGTAACTGCAAAGACTCCCTTTTGTGCTTCGCACACGGGAGTCAAAAACAGAGTTATAGCTAGAAAATGCTTGCCTAAAATCTATATTGAAATGCATGATAGCAGTCACTCGTCTTTAGCCGCAGAAATGTAATTTTCTGTTGATAATTTATGGGTATTTTGTAAAAACTGGCAAATTTCAATCAAAAGTTGAAGGTTATGCGTTTGTTTAAAATGTCAAGTATCTGTCTGAAATGACAAGTAAACAGGCGACTGGCTTAAAACTTTCACAGCATGATGAGACTATTGTCCCAAATATGTTAAAACACATTCCTTTGATATTGTTTTTCCAGTTTCATTCAACATTGTCTTTTATGTTTTTCTGCTATGATTAAAAAATATGTGCATACTATAATGCATGTGTCATTGATCAATAGCTTAAAAATGTGATGCAACTCGATACTATATTTCGTAAGCACAATTATTGAAATACACTTGCTTACACAAAAATAAGCGCTACTATTAGAGTAAATGTGCTAGGACTATTTTGCAATTGTCCAGATAAAACAGCAAATTTGACATTAATTTTGATGATGTGAGCAATGATAGTAAAAATACATGATTATGAACAGAACGTAAATTAATGTTGATGAATAATTATCATACACTAATGAACAACTGAAGTGCTTTCAAGAAACCCAGTGCATCCAATCAGCATGTTAGTAAAAATTATTTGCATATTAGCACAACCATTGTTTGCATATACTATATTATGATTAGCATGAACAAATATTTCAATATGATTAGCATTCAGCTCATTTGCATATGATTAGCATTAATCATATCTGCATGTTCAGCTACCTCATTTGAATAGGTAAGTAATTAGCTATTAGTATGTCATGATCGACATGGACACAATTTGAATGTCTTAGAATTTGCTGGGAAATTGATTTACATCAACCCATCTCTTTATATACACTAGTTTCTGCTAATAAATAAATTTGATAAACGAGTCTTTCATTGAAATACAAAGAACAATGTTGGGATACCCTAACTGAAGCCAAACGAAATCTATTCAGAAATTTGGCAAACTTGGCAAAATGTTTCCTGGGAAACAATATATATTGGATAATACAGGAAAGGTGACCATAGAAACACAGCAAGGACATGATTTGGCATTGAAAACATTTCACTTACGTCTTCTATTAATAGCAGTTGATCTTCATCAACATTTATATTAATCACATCATTCAGGTCTTCTTCATCTTCGGCTACATCCTATTACAAATTGCACCAGTTTAGAGATAGTTACAAATTGTCCAAAAAAACCAAAATGCACTCGTTCACAGAATGAGCAAGTAGAAATTGTTGGTTTGTATATAAATTTCGTAGTCCTGACTCAATATAGCAAATATTCCTCAACTCACCAACAAAAGCCTCACAACGAAATGATTTGAATATTCCAACTAACATTACATGAAGCTGGATTTGACTATTTAAAGATTAATGCCCATTTTTTTTAGTACCCAAACACTCGCATGTCTTATTATTTTATCATGATAATTTTTGGATTCAATCATGGAATACGTACTGGATAATATTACTAAGTCCAACAGAACTTGGGTTAAAGGACTAGCACAAATGTTAACCCTGCATTTCATATTGCACCCCACCTTACATACCAAACATAAAAACTGGTTGACGCTGATAAATTCATAAAAAGAAATAAAAAGAAATTAGACCTATGTAGTATATCATCAAACATAGTACCCACATTTTTGTTTCAACATGTTTTTGTGATTTTGCGGTAGTCATTAACAAATTTTCAAAATAGAGTGGTTACTCCAGTGGACAAGGAAGTTTTTTTAAAACAAAAAAAAAATGCAACGCAATGTGTTTGATATTTAAAGCTGCAGTTCAATAGATATTCAAACTAATAACCATAAATACCTTATCTTCCCCATTTACTTCTTTCTCTTTCTCTGTCTTTGACTCAGTCTCCATTTCTACAGCATCTTCAGTTTTGTTGTCTTCTTTATCATCCTCCTTGGTGACTTTTTCATCCTTTTCTTCTTTTTCGTCTCCATTTTTCTCATCTTTAGCATTAGCAGTCTCACTCTCTTCAACTTCCATCGGCTCTTCTGCATCCTCCTCTGTCTGGCTATCGTCTAACACCTCATCTCCATCCTACAAATCAAACAAAGCATTGGTTGCCAAAAGTGAAACAGAGATCCTATGCAGTATTCTTCCTATGTCCTACAGAATAAGGAAAAGCTATTGACTATTACTAGATCTATGTAAATATGGCTACGAGTTCGGCCACCCAATAAACATCTGCATATGTGGGATGCCCATAAAATAGACTTTTCTAATATTTTTAGGGTAGTGGGTTACATTTTTCTTATTGACGCCAATAGAAGTGTCTAATCCTGTATATAATACAGCAGCAATATGAAGTCACAAAGAATAGATACTATATCGTCTCTTTCAGGTTGTTCTCCGCAGAAATTTAAACCACAGGTGTGGTAACAATTTATATGCCAATTTGCTTAACATCTGCATATAATTTGTACAAGTATTCCAAAAGGAAATAGTAATGATTAACCCACTTAAACACTTCACAAATCAAACTTAAATCAAAGAAAGCTTAGAAAGAACTCCCATGTGCTGAGAGTATTGGAGACACATTAAATATAATTCGAAATTACTTAGCTGAAAACTAATTATGCAAATCAGAAAATTAATATGACCAGATTTGAGTGTAAAACTAATGAGTTCTGCGCAATGTAACAGAAAATCTATGTCTCCAAGTTTAATTGAAATGTGATTAGAACCAAAAAATTATGAATTATTATGCTTATTAGGGAATTAATATGAACAGATTTTTACCCAAAACTAATTAGGTTTGTACATTGTCCTAGAGCATCTTTATACTAAGTTTCATTGAATGGAATAATTAGCACCGTGAAAACTCCAAAATTTCGACCCTCTAAAATTCGACCGCCTGTTATTTGCCGGTTTCTGTGTTTTATTTACCTACAATTTTTCGACT